GCTATAACTGATTTGTGCTTTCCTTGATCCAAGTTATTAATAGTCCAAGGGGCCAAGCATATATTTCATTCTTTTTTCTCGCCCATAGGGACCTATCATTCATCAGCTCTTAAAGCCTTCACAAGATGTTAGAGATGGCCTCGTCAAACCTGAATTATTAATAATTCAATGGATTCAAGCATATATTGCATTCATTTTCCTCTCTCATTTTCTATGTGGTAAGAGGAAAAGGATGTGTTGGATAATTTGAGGAGTAGAAGGATAAGTAGGAGGGCTAGAATCTCATTCAAGCCCTCCGACTTACACTAAAAAAAATATTTTTAAAAAAAGAACCTTCAACGTGGAACTTGGGGGCCTCTCAATTATTTTGTTGTTCAAGAGTCAAGACAGTCAATAGTTTTGAACTAGTACCATCAGCACCCTATCATCATCTGGACCGCACCAAAATTTCATAGGTGTCAAACCATCAAAATTAAAACTCTAAAAATTTAAATTCGAGTATAGTGGTGAGTAGCGTCGTCTTCTCAGGGATTGGATGATATTTTTTTTTTCGAGTAGTAGTTAATTAGGGGGTTTGGAGTATTAAAACTAAACAATCAACATAAATAAAAATAATCAAATGTAAGCAAATTAAATTTAAATCAATAATAAACAAGCCCTAGTCAAAGAAATAATTTCAGAAGTGATTCATACAACTGTTCATTAATACAATAATTATTTCATCTATTTGTTAATAAACAGATTATAGTTGCCAAATACGTGATGACAACCAATTTTTCCTTATCGTCTCGATAATTAAAGTACGCCCATTAACTACTTCCCTAATCAAGAAACAACCCTAGGCTTCAATGTTAGGCACAAACACAAAAACAAAAAGGCTGAGCTTGAAGGTTGAGATAAGAAAAATTAAACCGAACTAATAATGCACCAGCCATCAATCTATTTTTTGGTAGAAAACAAATACACAATCACCTTCAGTTACGTAGAATGTTAGTTGTTTATTTCTAGTACTAGATAATCATTAATTCCATTTAAAAATTTCAGAAAATGGTTGACTGAGAGTTCTGTGAAATGAAAATTGTGAGATAACATTTACTATTTCAAGTTTCTGCTCTGTAAATTCTACTGAAACTTTTCATGTCATTATATTCTTTTGGGAAACTAATTAAATTAATATGCCCTGTCATTGTAAAATTGCATGCATCCTTTGATTACAAGAAGTCAAAGGTAATAATAATTAATGTTAGTGGGATGGATGAATAGAACTGCAATTGTTTCAGAAGATGAGATGTCGATTTACAAATGTGCATGCATCCGTGGTAGAAGTAGAACCTACAAGCCACTAGGCACCAGATGGTAGAACCCACTACCACAAAGTAAAAGCGAATTTCGCTCCAAAGTACTTGGGCAGCAAGAAGAGCTCTCTTACATATCTTTTCAGCCACTTAGATTACCAAAAATTTTGAATACAAAGTGTTTTATAATTTTCCTCCCTTGTAGAAATAAAAAAATTTATAGGGTTCAAGAAAATTAATCTTGATGGTAAAAATGTACGACAAATATTACAAGTATAGTTCATTTGGTTTAACTGTATTGACTATAATTACTCTATGGTTTTAAAGTCACTATTGTTCAAGTTACATTGATAGCTAAATTGAGATGTAGAGTTCAATATTCAACATCTTTAACAAGAAGACCAAGCCCCTGCGTGGATGGTCCAGCGGCAGCACCTCCCCTCCTCCCCTGGTGAACCTCTAGGTCCCAGGTTCGAGTCCCTGCGCTGCTGGATTCCTCCGCGCACTTACCGTGCTTGGGTCGGGTTGGGGCGCCAAGGCCTGGGCCGCAGGGGATTAGTCGGGCCCCGTAAGAATTGACCCAGACACCCCTGTGTCGACAAAAAAAAAAAAAAAAAAAAAAAGACCAAAGTGCTCAAATAAAAAAGGACCAAAATAAGGGTCACTGGGCGACTTACCGGTACAACAGGGCAAAAACAGGAAACCAAATGAAAAAGGTGGAAATTTTCTAGAGGACAAAAAGGAAAACATATTTTTGAGATTAATATTACCAATCAGATATTCAACTCTTTTTTGCAAAGCAGACAATCGAGACTAATTTTCCTACAACTTGCGCTTCTTTTATCAAACAGCTTCCGGACCTTTTACCAATGGCAGAGCCAGGATTATCAGGGAGGATGGGCAGCTTTATTCTGTGATTCTACAAAATTAATAGTTAGCGTCTGCCAGATTCTATTAGAAGGTATTAAAATAGTTTGATGCACTGTCCAATGGCTGAGGTAGGTGTTTAGAACGTACACTCTTCTCTTTCAAACCGACGTGAAACAACTTCAAGTTATCCGGGAACTAACATGATTTTTGTAGCTGTTTACTGAAACTCTGTCCAAGTTTAAATTGTAATTTTCTTTCAAAAAGTAGAATTTCCATTTGACTTATTTTAGTTGTTATTCTTAACTAATGCAAGTTGATCTGTGTTATTTGCAGGGCAACTGGGGAGGAGGATGTGAGATTGAAAGTTCTGTACTGTGGAATCTGTCACACTGACCTTCACGCAGCCAAGGATGAGTTCGGCGTTGGAATGTACCCACTTGTACCAGGGTAAGACATCCTCCTCGTCGGCCAAAGTGCCAATGGCAACTGGACATGTTTCTATCAACTTAGTCAAAATCAGTAGATTCCTGAGTTAATTTTTCTTTTATTCTTGCCAAATATTTCTTGTGTTTTTTTGGATTGAGCAGGCACGAAATTGTTGGTATAGTGACCGAGGTGGGAAGCAAGGTAACCAAGTTCAAAGCTGGAGATAAAGTTGGGGTTGGAACCATGGTTGGATCATGCCGCTCATGCGAGACGTGTTCAAATGATTTAGAGCCTTACTGCCCCAAAGTCATCCCGACCTATAACTCAGTTGACAATGATGGATTTCATACCCGCGGAGGATACTCTAACGAGATGGTGGTGAACGAGCATTTTGCAATTCGATGGCCAGAAAATCTCCCCCTTGATGGTGGTGCTCCGCTGCTGTGTGCTGGTATCACTGTTTATAGTCCTATGATGCACTACGGATTCTTCCAAACCTGGAACCCATCTGGGAGTTGTAGGGCTTGGTGGATTGGGTCATGTAGCAGTAAAATTTGCTAAGGCTTTGGGCCTTAAAGTGACAGTTATCAGTACCTCACCTAGAAAGAAAGAAGAAGCCATCAGAAATCTTGGAGCACGCTTTTTTCTTGTTAGCACTGATGAAGAGCAAATGCAGGTAAGGCTTTCTAATTTTCAAGTCTCTATAAATTTCGATCTTAGTTAAATGATTTTGGCACTATAGTCTTTGTTTTTAGGCTGATGATATTGACACATACTTGTTTTACACACACACAAAAAGTGAAAATTGTAGTTTTAGTACCAAATATTTGGGTCATCAACGGTTTTAGTTCTCAAAGTTTGGATAAAAGCAAATCTAGTTCGAATTGTTTTAATTTCTAAGTACATTTAGTCCAATTGACTGGCTTTGATAAATTATTACTGGAATTCATTAACGCCAATAGCAACGGCTAAATTTTGAAAAAAAAAATTAGAAAAAAGAAAAAGATGTTGGTGGTCATAATCTATAATTAAAGGGTACGAATTAGACGCATGCACAATGGTTATGTCTTTACTCTTTAGCTACATGACTACTGTCCGTGCGACTAATTAGTGCCAATTAATTACAAATTATGGCTGCCAACATCTTTTCCTTTTTCTAAATCTTTTTCAAAATTTTAGTTGCCGACAAGTGCTACTGACATGACTGAATTCCGATAACAATTTGCTAAAACTAGTCAATAGACTAAATGTGCTTGAAAATTAAAACATTTGGGACTAGATTGGCTTTTGTCCGGTCTTTAAGGATTAAAACCGCCAATGCCCCAAACATTTGGTACTAAAAACGTAATTTTCTCCACACTCAAATTATGGATCAACTAATTCTCATCGGGACTTTCTTAACTTAAAAGAGAAACCTCATGTAAATACTATGGAATGAATATTTTATTCCAAAAATGAAAAACTTGACACAATTGGAATATTTTTTTTTAAAGAAATTGAATGCAGTTACTAATTGATGATGTAACAAAACGAAAACCTCATTTTCGATTCTACAAGAATTTTTAAGAGAATGTTGGAGAGGGACATAAGACTTGTTACAAACTTATCTTGCAGGCTGCGAGGGATACATTGGATGGCATTATTGACGCAGTATCTGCCCTTATTTAGCCTACTCAAAAATGATGGCAAGCTTGTTGTGGTTGGTATACCAAATAAACCACTAGAGTTAGACATCTATCCCCTAATAGCGGGTACGCACAATACAACTTGAAATAAATGTTTGGTATTTTTCTGCAATGTTATTCCCTACATATTTCACCTAAAATTTTGTTGATTGCAGGGAGGAAAATGCTTGGAAGTTCCGCAGTCGGGGGGATGAAGGAGACTCAAGAAATGATTGATTTCGCAGCAAAACACAGCATCACTGCAGATATTGAAGTCAGTCCCATGGACTATGTTAACAAAGCCATGGAGCGTCTCCAGAAGGGTGATGTTAGATACCGATTTGTCATTGACATTGGAAATACCCTCCTTGCCTCCCCAAGCACTTGACTGTATAGGTGCATTAAGGAATTTTGCAGCAATTGAGTCTTTTCTCCATATTGCGATTCTTTGAGGAAAAGAAGAATTTGTTTGGTTATCTTTTGGACACAATAGATCCTCTTTGGTAGATTAAGTATATCCAGAATGTACCAAGATTTTTTTTTTTTTTTCTCAATCGCGTGAGCACTATTGAATATAAAGAAGTAAACTTCCCTTCCCCCCCCCCCCCCCCCCCACCCACCCCACAAACAAAAAAAAAATTTACATATATTTGACGCCTTATCATTTATCAATGATCGTATGCATGCAACTTAATGGAGCAGTATATTATTTATACAAAATCTTGCAAGAGCAGTACTTATACAAATGTGGAGTCACGGTGAAGTCAGGGCAACGGTCATGCTGAGCTATGGACCAGAAAAACAATGCAAAAAATCCACCCAATCGTGGGCAATTAGTTCGAACGGAAACCTTATATAAATCGAAGCCGCCACATATTGAAGCAAATCCCGTTACAAGATTGTATAAAATATGCTATCACTTGTCTCTATTGCAAAAATCTATGGAAAAGATTAAATTACACAATATTTATTGAATTCAACCCGATTGGTTTCTTTCCAAACTTCAATGTGTTTACTCACTCCTCAGTCCTCAGAGTATTTAAACAACGCCGGAAGATAATCTTTCTTAGAGAATTACTAAGCCAATATAGAGAGTCATATCGAAGATATCCCAAAAAAAAAAAAAAAAGAAGTGGCAGAGATGGCCGGTGAGGATGGGGTTAAGACATTCGGATGGGCAGCAAGAGACACCTCCGGCATCTTATCTCCCTTTGAATTCACAAGAAGGTTAAATCTTATATACCTGGCCTTTTCTGGCCTTGTGTCGATATCAAATGAACAAACTGGTTCAATTGGTATTTTATTAGTACAAGATCTAGTCAAATCTTTCATGCTGGTTTCTATTTATTGGAAAAAATACTAAATTGCATTACATTTCGAGAAAAATTTGTAAGGCACATGGTTGTGAAGTAACCATTTATTTTCTTGTTATCTAGCAATTATTTGTTTGTTGTAATTTTAACGTGGCAAGAAGAATTTAATGTGGATAAATTGTAGGGCAACCGGTGCCAAGGATGTTAGATTCAAAGTGCTGTTCTGTGGAATCTGTCACACAGACCTCGGTGCTGCAAGAGGTGACTTGGGCTTGCCTATATACCCGCTTGTACCTGGGTAGGACATTCATGTCAACTTGTCATCAAATGCTTTTGTTCATCCTTAACAAGTTAACTGTGCTGGGGGAGGGAGGATGGATTGAATAGTACGGAGGAAAGCACTCTCATTAAGATGTTTCGATTTCGAAATCTCCCACTCATAATAAAAAAAACAAAAAGTTAACCGTGCTGAATATATCTTGTTTAATTTTCTTAATGAACTAAAATTAACCTCTTTCCAAGATCGTTTTACTTATGAGTAGTTTTATAAACAATTTCAGTCACTTTCATTATTAGGCTGCTCTAGCCTTAATTTAATTCTTTTTTTTTTTTGGGAGCAGGCATGAAATTGTTGGATTTGTGACCGAAATCGGAAAACAGGTAACAAGATTCAAAGTTGGAGATAAAGTTGGGGTGGGCTGCTTTGTTGGGTCATGCCGCTCGTGCGAGCAATGCTCAAATGATTTAGAGCCTTATTGTCCCAAGAACATCATGACCTACCTCTCCATTGGCGAAGATGGAGCGCCTACTCATGGAGGATACTCCAATGAGATGGTGGTGGACGAGCATTTCGCAATTCGCTGGCCGGAGAACCTCCCTCTTGATGGTGGTGCTCCGCTTCTCTGTGCCGGCTCTAGTGTATACAGTCCAATGATGTATTATGGGTTGAACAAACCAGGAAGCCATCTGGGCGTTGTGGGACTTGGTGGTTTGGGCCATGTGGCAGTAAAATTTGCCAAGGCTTGGGGGCTCACTGTAACTGTCATCAGCACCTCAGCTAGGAAGGAGGAGGAAGCCATCAATCATCTTGGAGCTGACAAGTTTTTGGTCAGCACTGATCCACAACAAATGCAGGTGATGACATAAATTACCCTCCTATGCCAGCATGCTGAGACTTGGGAAGGAAATTTTGAAAATCATTTTCACCATAAAAAATTGCTTCATGTCTCCTTTTTATAGATATGGATTTTTTTAACTCTAATTTTACAACTTGTAAATAGAAACCATGCCTCTCAATGTTGTCGTCGTTGTTTTTCTTTTTTAATGTTACAACACTAAATTAGAAAAATTATAAATTTCTTCAAAATCATCAATTGACATAGGATATATTAATTTGTCTGACAGGAGGCCACTGGCACATTGGATGGTATAATTGACACAGTATCTGCTTTTCATCCGGTCATGCCATTATTTGGTCTGCTCAAAACTCATGGAAAGCTTGTTGTCGTTGGGGCACCGAATAAGCCCCTCGAAGTGGACATCCTTCCCCTCATTATTGGTTTGTGAATTAAAACAATGAAATTTAATTTATCTTCAAAAAAACTTTTATGCCCTTTGATTCGATTCTATATATAATTGATGACAGGGAGAAAAATGATGGGATCATCTGCTGCTGCGGGGATAAAGGAGACTCAAGAGATGATTGATTTTGCAGCAAAGCACAATATCACTGCAGATGTTGAGGTCATTCCTGCGAATTATGTTAACAAAGCAATGGAACGTCTTGAGAAGGGAGATGTTAGATATCGATTTGTTATTGATATTGGGAATACTCTTGTGGCTGCCCCAAGTACTTGATTGCTTGAAATTGCAATTGAGACTTTTCTTGAATCGTTGTTTTCACCTTTCAAGGCAGGAACAAAAAGTTTGTACCATGCTTTTGCTTGACTAATAATATTTGAATCTGAATCGGCTTTCCATCTGGATCGTGGACTTTGGATTATATTCTTTCTTTCTAAACTCTGGAGTAACAGTTGAATTTGAAAGGTTTCGTACCATCAGAAGAAATGGCTGCAGGGTTCGGCATTAGGCAATACGTAGGATCGAAATCATCAACACCCGACCAAATTCATTCTTTCTTTCTTTGGGATTTTTCACGATCCCCTCTTCTCATCGTTTTTCTTCAAGCGGAACCATAATAAAGAAAAGACCCTTTTAGTGTTTAACAATTGACTTTTCTAGCACCTACCAATTGATTTAATTAACTAGCGCAGGAACCTGGATTCTACAATGTCAATGGCTTTTTAGCTCTGCATTCCATGCAAAATAATGATAATTGTGTTTGGATTCTAAATTATTTGAAATAATTTTATGAACGATCAAATAATTTTATGAACGAATACTGTAGCACTTTTTTGATATGATGTATGCAGAATAAAAAAGTAATTAAAAAATGTATTCAACTCTGCCTTGGTTTGTATTTTCAAACAAGGCAAAATCCTTCTCTCAGCAATGTTTTCCCCTTGCCAAAGTGCCATGTTAGGAACGCACGAGCAAAAGATAAATTAAAAGAGAGAGATCTTGAGAGTTAATAGTAAATCAGAGATTGGACAATTTTATTGAGAATGTCTCTAATCTCTAAAATCTAGATTATGATCGTACTGTACTAATCAGAGCCAGCTACCTTACATAATTTCATATTCTTGGCTATGTACATAGGACTTAGGCCGAGAAAACCTTCTGCTACCTGAAAAGGTTGTCAGAATAAGAAAAGGGGAAGGCACCACACCCATAATCACGATCCATCATCGTTGTCGTCGCGCCCTTCAGCTCTATCTTCTCTGATGGTCTCCAGCTTAGGAGAATGAGAAGGTTTCAATGGAAGAACTGAAGGAGATGGTGCAACCTCCATCCATGACTTCATGTGCATCATTTTCTTTGCCATTTTTCGTCTTCAAATTGCAAATCCAAGAAACCCGCACTTGGGGAACAGATTGAAGGAACTTGCAGTGGTTTTTGCTTATGTGTAGACACTAGGTAGGTAGATATTGGACTTCTCTCTTTCTCTTCAAGACTAGATGAGAAAGAGAGCAGAAAAGAAGGAAGCTGATCAGAGCCTATCAATTTAGAGCTTGAAGAAAATGTTGGTGATGAAAGAGCAAATAGTTGGGTGGCTTTATATAGGGAAGGGGAATACAAGAGCAGAGAAGAACAAGGAAGCAACTTCGAGGAAAATATCAAACATGTGGAATTAGTCGACGGTTCTAAGCTTTACCACGTGGGAGTAGTGCCATCAATTTAGCAGACGACAGAACAGACCAGACAATTAATAAAGATTGCAATGATTGGCCTAAGTTTTTTGGATTTGGAAGTGTTGATGGATGGCTTGAATATTACACCCAAACACAAAAAAGACTGAGCCCGAAATAAGAGCCCGACTAATGCGCCAGCCTTCAAGTTTCTTTTGAACCAAATAGCAAAAATAGTCACTAAATTCTTTTGATCACTGGATCTTTTGTTTAGTTAAAATAGTCATTTAACTAAGGGCAAATTATCCATTTGGCCCTTGAACTTTTAGTTTAAGTAAAATTAAGCCCTCTAACTATTTGTAGTCAACTTTCAGCCCTCAAACTTATAAAATTGGGAATTCGTGGCCCTTTTACCTAGTTTATCCAGTTTTGCAACTGAAAAATTAAATCACACGAATGACAATATGCTTTAAAGGAGGGCATTTTTGTCCGTATATTCTAAGCAAAAAGTGAACAGCTCTATCTTCTTCCCTTTCCCTAACCCAACCTGCCATCGACGGAAGATCAGCCTCCAAGAACCCCAAGACTTACAAATACTACAGTAATGCCATCATTCAGAGATTCAGGGACAACCCTTCCTTCCCCCCCCCCCCAACAAAAAAAATCACTTTTTCTGAAGTCCGCAAGACCATCGTTGGAGACGTCGGCTCCATTCGCGGGGGTTTTTTATTTCTTGCAGGTCTGGGGTTTGATTAATTACTCTCCCTTTTCTTCTTCTTCCTCTTCTAATAAAGCTGCCGCTGCCCCCCAACAACTCTCCCACAATGACAGCAAGGACTCCTCCTCCTCCGCCACCAAATTTGCTAAATTCAAGGAGGAAGCATACTCCTCAATTCCAGCTGTGAACACCACAATCTCAAATTTATTACTCAGGAACTCCAAAAATTCTTCCATAAATGGCCTCTTTAACACGAAGAAATCCACTCTTTCTCCATCTATCACCGGCCTAACTATGAAATCATATTTTTCTAGAGCAAGGCCCGGTTGGTTGCAAAACCGGATAAACCAGGTAAAAGGGCCACGGGTTTCCAATTTTACAAGTTTAAGGATTAAAAGTTGACTATAAATAGTTAGAGGGCTTAATTTTACTTAAACTAAAAGTTCAAGGGCCAAATGGATAATTTGCCCTATAACTAATAATAAAGTATATATTTGATCACTCAACTAATAAAAACTTTCATGTTTAACCACTTAACGAATGAAACCATACACTTTGGTCACAAAATATATGTTCTAATTAATTGAATGTCACAAACTCCTGCACAGCAAAATTTGCAATTGCCACCGTACAACTCTGGAAATGACTCGATCAGTTTCATATCAGCCGGTGATTACCACTAAGTCAGTGGCTTTCCTGCCCAATGCAAGGCCGGCCATAGACTACACATCAAAGTTGGTTCAATTTCTGCACTATTGCCCAATACTAGTCGAGTGCTTGGCAAAGTCCCCAAGCCACCAATTCCCTTTCTCCCCGGGTATATCCTTACCCTTATCGTAGTGCTTCAACAAGTCTCTCATCCAAGTCCTCAATAATCCTCATGCATGGGATTTTGCATTGCTTGCTGAATTATATGTTTTCGAAGAGAGTGTAGAAAGGGGATCAGTAGATACCTGTTCTGCTTTTCGAGCTGATTCTTTGCAGTTGAGGTGAATTGAGAATTTGAATTCAAGAAGTAGTTTTTTATGCCATGGTGTTAATTTGGATTATATTCATATTGTCAACCTAGCTAATAGGTATTCAGTGAAGAAAAAAAAAATGATCCTGATAAATATAGACAAAACAAACATCTTCCGTCACAAATCACTGAAAAATAAGGCTAAACACTTCACAAATCCCACGATTCCTTGAGATATCAATACTCTAAATTACACGAAAACAGGCCTATAATATAGGCGCAGAAGCATCCACATAATTCATATTAACATTAAAACATCATATACGAAGATGAAATCTAGGAGACAAGATGGTCAACTGTGAGCCATTATTAAGACAGAACAGATTTTTTCCTAATATATTCTCAAACTCGGCCAAAAAAATCATTAAAAAAATTTTTTTTTTAAGAAAAAGTGAACATCTTAAGCTGATTTCAATGAATTCCCAATGTCGATGACAAATCGATATTTGATATCACCTTTTTTAAGTCGCTCCATTGCTGTGTTGACATAGTCTATCGGGATAACCTCGACTTCTGCAAATATATTGTGCTCTGCTGCAAAATTGATCATCTGTTGAATTTCTTCTAGGCCTCCATTGGCACTACCAGCAATTGTCTTTCTCCCTGTTGATCACATGTTTTGCAAGTTAGACACAATCTTATCACTCGGAGGAGATGGGCAAATTCAACTGAAAAGGGAAAACAAAACCATGATATACTTGCCCATTATAATGGGAAATATCGGCAGCTCAGGTGGCTTTTCAGGTAAACCAAGCAGTATAAACTTCCCTAGAGGCTTCACTAAATTGATTAAATGGACAATTGGGTGATTTGCAGAAACTGTATCAAGAATACCATCCATAGTACTAGCTGCAGCCTGATCAAAGGTGCATTGATCAGAATTCAAAGTCAATTAAAAAATTACTTGTGTCTCACTCCTACAATATATATCAATGCCAGAAAGAATTGGAAAGGAGCAATCTGGACAGTGACAATAAAATTATCTCATTCAAACACGAAACCACAATACCATTTATATAACTGATTCTACTTTAGCAGTAGGATCAATTACCTGCATCTGCTCAGGGTTACTGCTGACCAGGAATGCATCTGCACCAAGTTTTGTTATAGCTTCCTGTCGTTTACTAGCAGATGTGCTGATAACAGTCACCTTTGCACCAAAAGCCTTGGCAAATTTCACAGCTAAGTGGCCGAGCCCACCGAGGCCAACTATGCCAACATGGATACCAGGTTTATCAAGTCCAAAATACCTCATGGAGCTATAAGTAGTAATCCCAGCACATAGGAGGGGTGCGCCAGCATCCATAGGCAAATTCTCAGGCCAACAAAAAAGGAAGTGCTCATCAGCTACCATGAGATCACAGAAGCCACCTTGTGTGGGTTCTCCATGCTTGTCAATTGAGCCATGTGTGAATACTTTCTCTGAGCAGTAAGCTTCAAGATCTTGGCAACACATTTCACAGTTGCGACATGATGCGCCTAGGGCACCCATGCCTACTTTATCACCAACCTTAACTTTCTCCACCTTGCTGCCAACCTTGGTTACCACACCCACAATTTCATGACTGCATCAATCAAATCCAGACGGTCAGCATCTCTTTAAACTTGGTTTCATGAAAAATCACAATTCATTGTATTCTCACAGCTCACTTATGACCATTTGTACATAATCACTTGATTGTAATTTTTTCAAGTAAAAAATCGTTTGCAGGGATTCTCATCTACTTCTGATAGTCAAAACTTTTAAAATGGAGACCATATTTTCAGTTTCAACAGCTTTTCCATCACCATCTTTAGAGAAGCTTAAGTAAAGTGAAATGATTGAAAAAGGCAGGAAAATCCAATTTACTTCTTATTTTTGTTGGTACTTTGAAAGAAT